TAACTGTGGGAGCATCTGACATTGTCAGCTGGGAAGTTCTTTTTGCTATAACTATCATCAACTTTAGAATTACTTCTTCCACTAGCTTAAGTACATCACCATCCTATATAACAGCATCAAGGGCCTTTTGCAGAACAAAAACCTCTTTGGGGCTCTTCAGTATCATCTTCTTACTGCTCCTTTACACTTGTCCAGATTGAAGGAGCAGCTCAGAACACCCTGGCCCCTTATAGACTAGCTTTGCTCAACATGTTGTAATCAGAGACTGAAAAAACCTTTGTTCCCCAGTTATTTTAGTTTTTTCACATCCTCAAAAATGCTCCTAAGTAGCACACTTCTAACTGTAGGATGAATCAGGGAACACAAATACCGGATTCCTTTTTCTGATTCTGCCACAGACTCATATTGGGACTTTTGGATATACACGTCATCTATTGTGCTCCAGCCTACTGTATATGAAATTATAAAACACAAATGTAAAGCACAGTGAGTTCCCTGACAGAAAGAGGACAGACAAATCATTCATTTACTTATTATTCATGTACTTTGCTATTTATTTTTAGAAAAGTGCTCATTTCTGTCACACAAAAAAAAAAAAAAAAAAAAAAAGCTTTTATACTTGTGAACATTAGAAAGCTAAATAAGTCACAATACAGGAGTGAAACAGATTTGTTTGTCACAGACAAATTCATTATTGCCTGTTATTTGACTACAAGACCTTTGTAACAGTGATAAGATGTACATGTACCACTAAATAAGAGGAGGAAAATAGTGACAAGAAGAATCAAGGCAATAGTCATGTAGAACTTTCCTGTTACCAAGGTAGGTTAAAGACAAAAAGGCTCTAATCAATCTAATTGTAACCTTGAGATGCAAATTAATTTACCTATGAGTCTCTGAAATTGTAACATGAGTTTTCCCAGGAGCAACGTAAAGAAAAAAATTTTTGGATTTCAAATTAAGAACATTTGTAATCAGCTGAAAAAAAATACGAGAGCATGGCAATAGCATTTTCATTTTAATGACTTACGCTTTCAGTCGTCTGTCTTCTACAAAACACCCAGCAGAGGGCTCCAGGACCCCGGTCTTGCTCGTTGTCCTGAAAACCAGCAATCCTTCCAAATTCCTGTAAATCTGGAATTGGAGAGTTAAAATATCTTTTAGCTGGAGCAGAAAATCTGGGAGAGGTGTGCGTTTTCAAAGGGGTGTACAGAAGTTCTTTAAATTTCTGTAAAGCTCTGAGATTGAACACTCATTGCTATAAAAAAAAAAAAAAAAAAGGACTTTGTTCTCAAAAGACACATTCTAAATTGCAAAAAAGAGTCTCTGTAGGGGACTGAAGATAAATCACAATTAAAGTGGAGTTTGATTTAGTAAGAAAAAAAGCAGGCGACAAAAATTAAAAGCTGTGCACTGATATTCTAGGTTTAACAACAGGGAAAATTATTTTGAACAGTCTCAAGAACACATATGAACGTGTGATAGGATTAATTAAAAAAAAAAAAAAAAAGGAAATAAAGCCAGAACATCAAGAAACACATTCCAGTAATGATCTTCTTTCTTGAGATTAAGCCCCATCACTTCAGACTTTCAAAGCTAAAGTAGACAGGAACTGCAGAATACCCCTTGTAGGAAGCATGCCTGCATTAAGCAGGGGGCAAAACCATGTGGAAAGGATACTTTTTTGTTCTCTAATTTCAATTAAAATATGAAAAAGAAGCACGTGTAACAGTTACAATTACTCACACACAAATATCATCCACCCACATATTAAAATGTCAGAGAACAAACATTTCAAGATCGTTATGCAACAAGGAGTTAATAATAAGCTGGAGAAGGAACAATTTTCCTCTGGCTTGATTCAACACACTTGCATTATTCATCACATTTGTGAAAGAATATGAATCCCATCAAATAATTAGATGGTGTGCTAACCTCCCTGGTTTGCAGCAGCCTGTGACTGACAAGAAGTTCTCTCCAAGAGCAATCTCCTGCACTGTTGCTGTCTTCTGCCTGGACCCTCGGTGAAGGGTGTGTTTTCTATAGGGAATCCATGGGGAGTTTTTGTTGAGATTTAGGTCCAAACCCTCTGAATTTAACTTTAAATCAGGGAGCTATTAGATGCCATATTTGTTCCAGTATCTATAACCAGTACTACAATACTGGCCAGCTTCCATTAGTGTACATGAAAAAAAAAAAAAAGGAACTGCCCTCTTACATCATTTTGGATTAGAGTAAGGTGAGAAAGTGAAATATCAAAGTGGAGAAAAATATGCTAAAAGAGATAAGTCTGAGTAGTTATAGGAGAATTTTAGTGGCATTCTAACTCATATTCTCAGACCTCCGCTTCAACGCCCAGTGTAGTTTTCTTCTCCTTTCATTCCCCCCCAGATAGACAGATTGCCCTGATCATCAGCTAAGTTGGTCAACTTCAAAGTATTAGTAGTAAAAAAAATTCCAACAAACAGAGGTCTTGTCTATTGCTCTAAAACCTATAATTTATAAATCATAGGATTTGTAAGGATTTACAAATTATCTGAACTGATGGCATCTGAGAACTCTCAAAATTTCTGATGGGCCTTGAGGTTTACAAGCAAGTCAAGGAAACTACAAAGCAGACTGAGGCAAAACAAATAAATCCTTAACTTCTGCTGATGGATAGAGTGCTACCTGTGGAAAAAGCTGGTAGAACCTCATACGCTTTCATAACATAAATTAGTTTAGCAAGTTCTGTTCTAGTTCAGTCAAGAACTGATGAGGGAAGTTAGGTCAGACAAGGTAACTGCAATTGTTTCTCTGAGCTTTGAAGAAGTCGATTCTAGGGGCTTTACATGTTTTGCTTAATTTTCCTCAAAAATTCCCCTTCCACTTCACTGTGATGTAATACAAATTCTACCATGTACCTGACCCAGAAAGAAGCTGCATTTTCAGCATGTCCTTTATACACTGGGGTCACACAAGTTGAAACCCACCCTAGAAGCAGCAGGCTTGTTGGGGGATTTTCAAACTATTTCCCAAAATAAGGTAAAACCACAGATTGGAGGACAGATAATGCAGCCATACTTGATTAGCTTTAGTTAATGTATGGATAAGCATAGCAAAAAATCAAAAAGAATTCAGATAGTGAATACTCCTACAAAGAAGTATATTCATACAATGTCAAGGGATGAATGTATATACATTTAAATGGAAATAGGCTCTACTTTTAATGACACTGCAGTGAGTGGGGAGTGATGTTCCCTACACCCAGCTGGCGTTACTCTGGATTTTTCCTGGTACCGCCAAAGGCAGAATCAGGCTCATTTGTTTGGTATTTAGCAACACACTACTGAGGAGTATGAGACAGAGAATAACTATGCCTTGCTGCTTTAGAATCACTTGGCATCACAGTTACTTCTCCAGAGCTGCTCCAGGAAGCACCTACAGTCATTGTCAGAACCAAGTAAATAAATGAGCAGCTCACCTCACTGGGAAAAGGGGACTGCAACCAGCAAGCAGGGCAAATGCTGCTCTCCTTTCCCACAGCACACACAGCTCATCTTTAAGAGCCTGAAGCCACTCAAACGTACAGCAGTCTGCCAAATTGGCAGAACAAAGAAATAAGCAGCAACTGGTCAAGTGTGGGGTGGAGTGAGGAGGCCTTTTAGCAGAAGAGGAAATGCTGCCAGGAGACTCTGCATGCAGGTCTCAGCTTTCGCAGAGACAGCAGCTTGAGGTACATCCTCCAGGAGGTATTTTCTACCTGACAACAAATTCGGCTAGCAAGAACCACCCCAAAGGGCAAGGCAGCTTTCCTCAAACACTTGAAAATGAGCTATTTTCCTCAGGGAACACACCTCTTACACTTGGCTGGGAGGAGAATGTCACTTGCTGTTTGTCAGGGTGACTACGCAAAGCACGGCCCGTTTCCAGGCCTCACAAAGACACTTGTGTACCACCAAGGCCTGGGCGTGCTCACGGCTGCCACCCTGTGCAAAGCGTTTTCCTTCCTCCCTGACTCCACCCCAGGTGCTGCCCCACACCCCGCCTGCCTGGGGGGCCCCTGCTGGGGCTCCCCGGGGTCTACCGGCGCTGAGGAGGCGTGGCGGGCGGCTCAGTGGCGCCGAGCACCGCAGTGAGGGAAACCACCTCGCGCTGCTGCCCACAACCAAGATGGCGGCGCGGAGAACGTGCCAGCAAGCAGCCGCTCTACCCTCCCGCGCTCGCCTCTATGACTGGCGGCGGGCGCGGCCACGTGACGCTTTCAACC